ATTCAGTGACATTAGTGGGGGGTTTTGTGCCTAAATGGGATGGTTTTGAGTTGTAAAATATGATTATTCACACTGAAATGATAATGTGAGGCATACAAAACTGTTTAGTCCTTAAAGCTGATCAGCTTATCACTGTCCAACACAAAGCAGAAATCAGATATCTGAACAAGCTGAATGTGTTAAAGCAGTGACCAGGGATGCTATGGGAACAGGAGAGTCTGGACTAATCTTTGCAAATATGAGATGTGGTTTTAGTAAAGTACATCAGGCAGGAAAACCAATGCTCCTTTGTTTCCCTGTTTTCATCTGCTTCTCGTTTCCTAGGAGAGCTGCATCTTCTTCTCCAGTGTCTACATCAACCACATTCTCCCTCCATTTAATCTTTTACCCCATCCCTGTCCCTCCTTTTCTGCTGGCTGCCACTTCTGTCCCCTTAATAATGGTTTCAGGGCTCATGCTGTCACTTGAGGGTCCCTCAAATGTCATGTAGGTCAGTATTTACACTGCTTTTCAATAAAATGTTGGTTTTTTCAGCTTCCCCCTCACGGACACGAGTGGAGGCAGGAAGCAGGAGGGAGAGCAGCAGAGCACTGTGAGGCAGCACTCACATTATGGACCCCAAATTCAGCACCCACATGCAGAAGGAAACAGGCCAGCACTGGGTTCTGGTGACACCAAGCAGCCTACAGGCATGTCCCAGTCCCATCACCTTTCCTGCCACCCACACATCTCCAAAGGAAAACATTTTTTGCTTTTTACTTTCTGAAGGTTTGGGCTTTGGCGTTTTGGGGTTTAGAGATAGAAGAGCAACAGTTTTATAAATAATGATTGAAATAAATTATGCTTGAATCAAATGAAAGCTATGTAAATATTCCAAAGATTATTACAAGCAAATCTAGAATAGGTTATTATTTGTATATAAAATAAAGCTTGTTTGGTCAACATTGCTTTTAATGGTAGAATGAAAACTGAGTTAAGAATCTGGTGGATTCACATTTTTTTCTTGTTTTCCCTACTCCTGTTTTGCTGGCAGTCTCCACCCATCTTCATCGCTTCTGCTCATATATTTAACTCAGAGGCAAAGAGCTATGAAAGCTCCATCAGCTGAAAAAATCACAGATAAGAGTGTTCAGCAGCAAAGTTCAAATCACCACCTGAATATTATCCAATTTCACACTAAAAGTATGAATATTTCAGGTTTAGCAGTGTCACAGAATGGTAAATGTCCTGAACTAGTTCTCAGGAAGTACCAAAAGAAACACTATGTATGCTCTGTACTGCAATAGTTTAATGTAAAGGAAAAGAAAAAAAAAGGAAAAAGCAGCCTTGTTTTTTTCTATTGCCTCACAGTGGATTAATCAGACAGCAATTCCTAGGAATATGAAAATATGGATAGTGTATCTTAGAGTGGGAGAGATAATAAACTGCTAGAGGGCCCAAAGAGATGCAAAAGAAAAAAAATTATCTGGGTTACATCCTTAATGTCTCCAACATTCTTTTCCTGGAGAGCAAAGTAATTTTCTTAAGTGTGTATTATTCTGACTAGTAATCAGAAAATGACTGAACTCTGGACAATAGCCTAAGTTTTGTTCTGCTTCACCTTTTCTGTCCAAGATAACAGGGAACACAACTGGTGTCATTAGAATCTGTGTTTTTAACAAATCATCCAGACCTGTATTTCTGCTGTCATGACTGAGAATTTAATCCAGCATTTTCAAATGTGCATGGGCCAAGTAAAAATGCTACCATTTACAGGACAAATACTGTCTTTTGAGTGTGTGAAATGGCTAAGCAGTTTTTGAAATTTGGATAAATTTTAAGGGCACTTCAGACATCCTGAGTTGAATATGTATCAAATTTTCACATCACTTTAAAAAATCGTACCAATTATCACACCAATATGCAAATCTTATAATTGTTTTGATTAAGAAATTGGAAGGCTGGGGTTTTTTTGGAGATGCTGTCTTCTGTTGAAATGATATAATAAAGGAAACCAAGATTAAGTTTCATTTAATATCTCTTTTGAATATTCACATTTTGGAGCATATCATAAAGATCACATAAAATTTAGGTGATTTTTGGGGGGTTTTGGGAGGGTTTGTTTGTTTGTTTGGGGTTTTGGGTTTTTTTTTTTGTTGATTGTTCTTTGGTGTTTGGTTGGTTGGTTTGTTTTTTTTAAGAAGAGATGAAGTGTCCAAATGCTCACAATGAGACAGTTACTCTCAGGTAATTATATACATTTTCTTACTGAATCCTTAAAACATTGTTCTCTGAAAATGCAGGTGTTAATTAGATCAGACAAATGTTCTGGTGGTGGGCAACCTAGGTGGAGAGTCTTGGTCTTTTAACATCTGGATTTGTTTTCTCATCCAAATTCAAATGAATTCAAAAAATTCTGAGGAGGATCAAACCCCAGTGCATAACCAGGAGTTTGGTGGGAGGTTTTACATTTACACGTTTGCATTACCTTCTGCAATACCAGATAAACTGGCTGTGCTGCATTGCTGGAGTCAACCACCCAGTGGCCCACAGATTTGATAGCAGAAACTTGCCTTTCATATCTAGGCTGTAATTTGATTTTGACCTATGTTTGTCATGAAAGCCAGTCTCTGTAAAAGGTGTTGATAATATTAATTACCAGCAGATAGGATTTCATATCACCACGAAATAGCTACAGTTATTAATTATTTTTCTTTCATCATGATGGATCAAGTAGAGAGACCAAGTAGCCACCATGTGAAGGAGTAGAAAATTCCATTCATCACCAGTGTGGATTCCCCCAGTCAAAAGGAAAGTATGAATAGTAGATTTTTGTATCCTTCCTACACAACAATTGTTTAAAGTATTTCTTAGGTGTTTTTGTTTGGTTTTTTTTTTTAATCTCATGTATTTCTGGATGTAACTGCTGTGTTTCCAGCGTTGGACATTACTTCTCAGTATTAGAACTGCAGCTCTTCAGTGAAACATCAAATGTGGTAAGAAAGTCTAGCAGAATTCTAAGTGAATGAAAATCTGGAAATAATCAGAACCTCCGAGGAAAGAGACTACTAAAAGCAATGGGAAAGGTATTACAAGCTACAGATTGATAGTAGTGTACTAATTCCACTGCTAGGGTTATGCTCTGGACATAAATTGCTTGGGGAATAAAAGAAGGCTCTGACTACGTTCTGGACATTGAGACTAAATTATCCCTTGGTATAAATTTCATGGAAATGAATGGACTCACTCTGTTAGTTAACCTCTATTACTCTGTTGGTTTTTCCACAACAGGCTATGTGCTGGGAGAACCATCTCCTATTATCTCTGATGCCTTTTCCTTCAGAGATCAGGGAAATTTGTCCCAGAGATCAGGGAAATTTGTCCTCAGCATGGGTGCTATTTTCCAGAGTTTGTATGCATTTTTTTCACTACTGTTACACATTCCCACCACATAGCAGGAATTGCTGATAATTATCCTCTTCATTAATGTGGCTATTTGAGAGAAACTTCTAAACTTGGCTGACTGCTTAGTCTGTACATTTCATTCTTATGTACTTGTGTAGCCTTTCTGTTGACTGCACTGCAGGGCTCCAGTCAGAGGAAACCCCAGGCTCCTCTCTTAACAAGCATAGCCTGTAAAAAGTCAATTAAAATCCATTGAAATATTAAATTGAAGTTGCATTTATTTGCCAGTTGCAACACCGCCAGTATTGAACTGTATTTGAAATGCTTTTCCACGGCAATGGCCCACAGTGTGAAAGGTGAAATACAAACCTCAGTTCTCTCACCGGCATTATTACATTAAGAGCTTGTGTGGTTACATGTTCACAACTGAAGTGAAACAAAGATAAGGATCTTGCACTTGCAGGTTTCAACCTAGACTATTTTAGCTGGCTACCACAAAATATATCAGGCTGTGTTAGAACAGCCTTTCTTTGAAGTCCTGCTGCTTGTTCTAGTCCATCAGCCTTTCTTTGCAATGCACTCAAATACCGTTGCCATTTTTTTTTTTAATTTATAATAAAGACTTTTTCAGCAAGAAAGCAGCTTGAACCACCTGATTTAGCAGGTGTTTTGTGCGTGTAAGCTGCATTTCAGTGGGTGTGGCATACAGGCATTAGACATAGGCCAAGGTTTTACTTCAGATGGGAACAGGCGGCCACTTTGGGGACCGATGGCACTGGGCACAAGGCGGGGAGCAGCTTTGGGGACAGCAGTGGTGTTCCCGAGGATCGGAAGGGATCCCCTTGTCTGCTGGGCCAGACCCGACCCTCAGCTTGGAGCATCGTGTGTAAACACAGCGCCAGCTTGGGCAGCCAAGGCCTCAAGTGCTGTCAGTGGAGAAAACACGGATGTTTTATCGATCCCATCCATCGATTGTTTCCGTTATCACTAGAGGTGCCGCCAGCAGCTTAACATGGGAGTTTTGGAGGCGTGTTCGTCGCTGCCGCACGGCTCGTGTTTGTGAGGATTCACCCACAGCAGCTGTCTGCTGAGGGATGCCCGGCACCCCACTCGTTTCTCGTTTGAATTCCGCCGGCACCCCGGCTTCCCCCGCCGCCGGGAAGGACCCGCAGACCCCCCGGCACTGGTGTTCAACCCGACCACGCAGCCGGGTGTGCGTGGAGCTCCTTCTGCCCCGGTTCCCGCTCCCGGGGCCGGCCCTGCGAGGGCGGCGCCGCCATTGCGCACCCGCGCCGCCAGGGGGCGCTGCGGCGGCGGGCGGGGCCGCGGGAGGGGGCGTGGCCCGAGCCCACGTCCGAGTTCCCAGGGCGACAGGGCGGTCGCGCCGTGACGTCACGGTGCTTCCCGGTGACGTCAGGCGGGCCCATGCGCCGTGGCCGCGGCGATTCTGTGTGACGTCACGAGGCCGGCCGTGACGCGGCGGCGGCGGCGCTGGGAGCGGGCCGGGACCGCGCTCGCCGCCCGCCCCTCGCACTACGGGTCGCGGCTGGGGCCGCCCCGGTGGCGGGGACGCGGCCGCCCCCGGCCCCGCCCTCGCCCCGGCGCTCCGGCCCAAGATGGCGGCGCTGAGCAGCGGCGGCAGCGCCGAGGGGGCCTCGCTCTTCAACGGGGACATGGAGCCCGAGCCGCCCGCGCTCGGCGCCGGCTACGCGGGGGGCGGCAGCGGGGACCCGGCCATCCCGGAGGAGGTGAGGCACGCGGAGGCCGCCCGCCCCCGGGGCTGGGGCCCGGCCGTGCCGGGGGCGGCCCGTGGCGGCGGGGGCAGGGAGCGGGGGCCGCGGCGGGGAGGGTGCGGGTCCCGGTGCCGGTGCCGGCCGGGGTGCGGAGAAGCCCGGCTCGGTGCCTCTGCGGCCGCGGGCGCCGTGTCCGGCGAAGGTGTTGTGTGGGGGTTTGCCATCGGTTTCCCCCGATGGTTTTGAAACACTGGAAATGCATTTTAAACCCAAGGTTGGGTTCGGCTCGCTTTGTGGACGGGCTTTTTGTGGACGTCTTTTGCACAAAGCGTCTTAGGAAATGTTAACGGACAGGGCACCGAGGAGGCAGTGAGGATGTCAGGCCTCTGGTTGGTGTCTTTCTTACATACTTCCTGTGTTTTTGGGGCTTATTACTTAACTTCCCAATCCCACGGGGAGCGAGCGGTACTACCTGTTTTGCTGGGGCTGAAGTGTGAGTTGCGAATGCTTCTGAAATGTTTTCGGAAGAGGAATAAACTGTGCGGTAACAACACAAGGTGCTTCGCGCATTTAAGCACTGTCGGCATCCAAGGCAGACCAACCTGCCAGATGCCGTGCCTCGAGTCTGTTCTGGAGGTAAATACAGATGCCAGAAGCTCTGCTGTTTTGTTCTCAGCTTTACCGGCTGGAGAGTGTTTCAGCTCAGCTTTCCCTGGTGCGTCTGTGCTGTTGGTACGAGACCTCTCATCTCTGAGGAGCCCAGCCCACCTGGGAGCGTCTCCTTTGCAGCCTCCAGCAGGGAAAAAGAGCTGGCTTGGACCAGCTGCTCTCAGTGGGGTCCAGTTGGATTCCCGACTCCCCGAAGACTGGGCTTGTATCCATTTTAGTTATTAATAGCATACTGAATTATAGTGGAATTAGTGAGTTGAGAAGTGCTAGAGTTCATGCTGAGTAAATGGCCAGAAAGGAGAAGTAGGGAAAGAGTCCATCCCTATGGATGTTTGGAAGACCTGAGTTTGATTCCCTCATCTAAGGAGTTCCTGACTTACTTGCTGAAGGTAGGCAAAACTCAGCAGTACACATCTATTTTACACCTACCCAGCATGGTGATTAAACACCTTGAGTAATGCTAGTCCAGTCTGAACTTTCCTGAGTAAGGAGAAACTCTCAGCTGGTTGAGAAACCCAAACACCTGGAGAGTGGGGTTTAACAAACACACACTTTTAGCAGCAAAGTGAGGTTAAAAAGCTTCTGAATTTCTCAGTTATTTCTGTCATTTGAAAAAAAAAACCAATGGAATTAATCCAATAACTGGTTTATATTGTGGCCCATGAAACAATAACATCAATGCAGCTGAGCTGCTTAAACTGAAGTATAGAAGATAAGAGAGGGAAAAGCAGTGGCAGAAGGCAAGAATTTTTTTAAAAAAACAGTTTTCATACTGAAGGGGGTGTCTGTGAAACTGCTCTAAGTCCTTTGAACTTCAAAAACATTTTAGACTGTGTCAGTAATTAGATTTGATTCCAAATGGTAAATTACATAGTGTGGCTGCTTCTCCTTCCATCATGAATATCTTCCCTGGATGAAGCAGAGAGAAAAGTGGCCCAGCATGTGGAACACCTGCCAAGCAAAAAGGTTGATAGGTTGTTGGTATGGGTGTAAATATGTAGGAAGTGTGTGGGAGATAGTCTTGTATAATTTACAAGCAAACTTCTACATTGGAAATACCAAAACACATGGGTCTCAAGGCCGAGCTGGTTGTATAGTTTTTGTTTTCTGATGTGGTTTTGTTCTGTAGTTAACTAGTTCTTCCTCAAGTTGTAGGTAATTAAGTTTTGTTTACTGTATAAGTACACCTATTGCTTCACCTAAACCTGTACCTTAATGAAGTTCAAGCCCAAAAAATTGATGACACTGTTAAAATGGAAACTGTCCTTAATACTAAAACAAGCCAAGCTAAAGTTTAATGCAAGTTCAAAGTGACATAAGTCAAAAAATACTGAAGTGCTTGTAACTGACTCATGGCTGTAATGTAAGTACATGTTCTAGTGTTTTGTTTCAAGACAAGGTAAATCTAGGCTTTAAAAGTAACCTTGCTGTGGAAGCCTGTCAAGGAGCATGACCTTACTTAAGGCAATACCTGAAAAGGTTTCAGTTCCTATAGTCTTTAGGGAAATGCAATCCTGATTTCCAGGAGGTAAACCTTTAGTCCTGCACTCAGTTTCTGCTTTTAAAAGGGGAGCAGACAAGAAGAAGAATTTCTGACAGATGTTGAAGTCATCTTATGTGGGAAGACAGGCTGTAAGCATGGCACAGAAGGCAATCTTTGCAATGAATTACAACTGTACTGATCACTGAGGAGTGGAGACAGCCTTGCCTGCCCAGTGAGGATGGGTGTTATAATAGAGTGGGTGAGCTGGCCACAAGCTGCAGTTGGAATGGGAGACCCAGAGTGTGCTGCAGTTTGGGGTGGAGGCTGCTGGCTGTGCTGTGAGCAGGTAAGGGACGTGGTGGTGCAAGGGACAGACAAGGTAAGAAGCAATTGTGTGAGGGACATAAAGGGTTAGATGGCCAGGTAAGGGACAGGTTGGGGTTTAGCCAGTCATGAAGAAGGAAAGTTGCAGAGAGGAGAGAAGGAGTCAGTGCTGTGTGAAGCTGCCTATGTGAGAAAAGGAGTCAGAGTTACCTGAAAGAAGTCCACTGAGAGAAGGCAGGAAATGTTTTTAATAAAGTACTGGTAGTAGTGCTGGTTGTGTCTGTCTTGACGTAGTTACTACAATTTTACACACCCTTACTTGTATGTTAGAACCTTGTGGTAAACAAGATGTTCTGTATTGAGTTTGCAACCAAGTGCTCTGTGTTGGTTACAGCTACATCACTGCATCACTGTCCCTTATGAATTCTCAAGGGTTGGGGCTTTGAAAAACCAAGTTAAGCCATTGTTCAACTCATGACCAGTTCCTAATCAAATAATGAATTTATGTCTTTAGAAGTTGCTTTTGTAGCCGAAATGCTGTTACTAAAAATTCTTCTAATAGTGAGTATTATAACTCTTCTAATAAGTATATGATGATTGCGTGATCTTTTTTCCCCTATATTGAAATTCAGAGTTGATAGGGGTAGTTGTCCATGCAGTCATAAAAATGATACAGGAAATGGCTACTGCTTGGAGACAGAAGGGTTTGGAAAGGGTAGTGGCAAGTGCATGGAGAAGAAATTTGTTCCTCTTCCACTCCCTGTTTGGTTGCTGGTGCTGGGAGGCCTCGGATGTGAGCTGGCGTCCACAGGCACAGAGGTTGGCTTCTTCCCCAGCATGAATTCTCGGGACAAGAGATTGTTTGGATGGAAGGTTTTCAGAGCATTACAGGGTTGTTGACATAGTAAGGAGTGTGTGACAGCTGGGAGGAAAGGTTCTGCTCTTGTTGCTAGAGATTATTTACACCAATATTAAATAATTCAAATGGGATTTTCTGTACTCGGAGCTTTGTGCCCTAAACTGCTCTTTGTAAGACAAAAATTACTTTGAAGGCTGTGAAGTGAGGGCCTGAGCTGCTGGATGGTTGTTTTCTAGGCAGCAATGCTGGAGTTCATCCTGCATGAATATTAGTTATAAATTTAGAAACTGTAATCCTATGAAACAGATTTAAGAGTAAAATAGAGAATGGATGAAAAGATATGTAAAATGAAGATAGAATGAAAAGGCATCTCTAACCTTAAAATATGAAGTAAGTGATGGGGTCTCGTAATGTCGGTATGTGAAGTAAAAGTGGGGTTGATTTTGTTGCAGTAACATTTGGGGGACCTGTGGTGCTGGGTATTCAAACAACTTTCCTTTAGAATGTCTATTTCTCTAAAGAGTTTACTATTAAACATGCTACTTATTTGGAAACTTGAAACCGTATGAGTGGTTTTTTTACTTCATTGCTTTTGTAGGTTTGGGAATATGTTTTATGTTCAATCTCAATTACGTTTCCTTGCATTTGTATTCAGTTATTGAGCTAACTGCCTCGTCTGTGAATGACATCCTATTTAATTGTGAGGACAAGTTAAAATGGAGCTTGATGTGAAGCACCTTGTAGCTGATATTCTGCAGTAGTATATCTCAAAAAATAAGTGAAATGTTTCTTTTACATAGCATGGGAAAGGCCATGGCTGAATACTGTCTGACTTTGGGTCACAGCTTCCAGAAATGCATGGCTTGGCTGAGGCAAGTCTACAACAGAATAGTAGCAGTGATGTAAAGTCTGGAAGGTCAGAGCTTTGAAGAAAGACTCAGTAAAATGTGAAGTTGTTGAAAAAAGAAATGGAAATTGTCAAATCTGCTGCAAAGAAGAATGCAAATAGCTTGTTTGTCAGGCTTGTGGTGATTGCTGCCAGAAGTAGTGAGTTGAAGTGGTAGCAGAGGAGATGGTTCCTTGTTACTATGAGATGTTTTTCTTTATGTCTAGAAATAGTGGAGCATGTAAATAGACTTTCTGAACTTATTTTTAAGCTATTCATTAACAGACTGTCACCTCGACAGGGAAACATATGTCAGGAGTGATGGGGCAAAGTTGATCCAGGTGTGAAAAAAAAAAAAAAAAAAAAAAAAAAGACTATGACTTTGGTAACCTCTCATCTTATTTTTTCCTTAGGGTTTTTATGATTTATTTCTGGCAAGGTGGATCAAACATTAGGACACAACCTTGAAATACTTAGGTTTAGTGGGGATAGCAGATACTTCTGCTTATGATATTTTTTCCAAAAGGGAATAGAATTAACAGCTCTGTCCTGTGGTAGCTTGTTTGATTACACAAAACTTGCTTAATAGAGTGGTGGCTCCTGGAAAGTTGTGATGTCTTGGGAGGCTTGTTTCTGATCTCTGTAGATATCCACAAACTGGTTGGGAACAAAATGTTTAGTACTGATTTTTTTTTTTTTTTTCCCCGACTTACAGTCTTGCTTCTTAATCCCCATTTGTATTTTGTTGTAATCATTAAGCTCAAAGATAGCTTATTTTTAAAGCTGTTCTAATA